TGTTTGTTTGTTTGTTTGTTTTTTCCAACACTGGATATATCACATCACTGCCTTCTAGCCTGCAAAGTTTTTGCTGAAAACTCTGATGATCTTATGGGAGTTCCTTTGTAAGTAACAAGTTTTGTTGTTGTTTTTCTCTTGTTGGTTTTAGCAAGAGAGCAAGCCTCTTCTTATCTCTAGCTTTTGATGCTAATTATGTTTCTTTGTGTGAGTTTTGTTGGGTTCATTGTATTTGGAACTCTCTGGGATTCCTGCATCTTGATGTCTGTTTCCTTCTCCAGGTTAGGGAAGTTTTCTGCCATTATTAAAGTTAAGTTTTCTGTTCCTTTTTCTCCTCTTTGGGAGTCCTATAATGCAGGTGTTGGTCAGTTTGATGTAGTCTCATAAGTCCCTTAAGCTATCGTCGTCACTCTTCTTTTTTTCTTTTTACCGTTCTGATTGGGTAAGACTATGTTATCTCTAACAGATTCATGGAAGGCCAAAACAAGCCTCCCCCCATTCCAGCCTTGGTGGGCATTCCTAATGTGTGTCTGTTAATCTCCAAGGGGCCAGGAACATGTAGCCCCAAGAGAAGTCATTGACCAAACATGAACAAGATGGAGGGGCAAAGGTGGAGCTAGTATTGTCAGCACTCCTACACTACTGTCTTTCCCAGTCTCTAGAGAGGATGTAGTTTGGGCCCCAGGAGTGTTTTTAATTAGCTTGCCCCTCAGATCACAGCTATGAAGATAAACTAACAGTCCTCTTTTGCAGAGACTGAGTGCTTCAGTCTGTTGTCTCTGCTGTGCCCTGGAAATATAAGCCAGTTAAGAACTCTTCTTCTATTTGTTAAGTCTTGTGGGATCCATCAGCGTAAGCCCCACTGACCACCACAGCCAGGCAATCTAGAGGTGTTTCTTGGACAGCAAAATTTTCTATAAAAATCAGTGTCAGGCAAGAGCACAAGCTCCTTGGAGATACTGGAGAGCTGGAGTGAGGAGGCAGAGGGAGAGCACAAAAATTGTACTTGCTCACCTGTTTTTGGAAAACATTTCAATAAGTCCTTACACATATGTTAAATTAGGTGCCTGCATGTAAGATTAGCAAGCCATGTCTTTTTTTAAAAAGTGGGGAGGGGCAGAGGAAGAGGGAGAAAGAGAATCATAGCAGGCTCCACACCCACCAGGGAGCCCAGTGCAGGACTCTTAATCTCATGACCTGAGCTGAAATAGAGAGATCCTTAACCAATTGAGCCATCCTGGCACCCCTCAAGCAAGACTCTTCTACAGAAAGCCTGAGTGCTTTTCAGTCAGTGGCCTCTATGCTGGGTCTTGGGTTGAGTGAGTCTGCACATGTGAACCTTTTAAGAACTGTTTCAGTTTGCTATAGCCTTCTTGGTCCTATGGATGCAGGCTCCATGGGCTTTCAAAGGTAGATATTTAGGGGTCCATCTCAAGTTCAGGTCTTAAAAGTTGGGAGTACCAGATATGGGGTTCAGAACCTTCACTCCTCAGGGAGAAGCTTGGGATTTTGAGTTCCGTCCTGATTGTGAGTTGCTGTACCTGGGGTGGGGTTTATGGTAGGATTGTGTCGCAGCCTCTCCTATCTGCATTTATGGAGTTGTTTCCTCATTCATCCAGTGTGTCAGAGTTGCTTAGTTTTGGGGGTTTGGTTTTTCCCAAGGAAATTATTCCAAATGTAGATGTACATTCAGCATGTCTGTGAGAGAAAGTAAGTTCAGGATGCTTCTGTGTCACCATCTTAAACCTCAAGCAGAATGAAATATTCCTGTTCAATTTGTCGTTCTTTATAGTTTCTCTGGTAGTTGCTTACATTATTGATCGTCGATTTTTTTTCCCTTTTGTTTATTCAGTGGTATAAATTTCCTTCTAGGCTCCTACAATTGCTATACTAGACAACTTTAGATAAATTCCATTTTCATATTGTTCAAAATAATAAGACATTTTGATCTCAATATTTAGAAGTTTTTTAAAACTTAAAAAAATGTTATTTATTCATGAGACACACAGAGGAGAAACAGGCAGAGGAAGAAGCAGGCTCCATCAGGGAGCCCGATGTGAAACTTGATCCTGGGACTCCAGGATCACGTCCTGGGCTGAAGGCAGTGCTAAACCGCTGAGCGCCCCCCCCCCCCCCCCCCCCGCCGGGCTGCCCTAGAAGTTTTTAATCTCCGTGTTTTTGGGGATTTTCCAACTACTTTCCTTTTTTTTTTTTTTTTTAAGATTTTATTTATTCATGAGAGACACAGAGAGAAAGAGAGGCAGAGGGAAAAGCAGGCTCCATACAAGGAGCTCGACGTGGGACTCGACCCAGGGTCTCCAGGATCACACCCTACAGCACTAAACCACTGCACCACCAGGGCTGCCCTCCAACTACTTTCCTGATACTGATTTCCAGATTAATGCTGCTGTCTCCTGAGAACATAGTTTTGTAGGATTTGTGTTGCTTCAAAGTTAAGGTGTTTTATATCCCAAGAGGTAGTTTGTCTTGGTGAATGTTACCTGTGAACTGGAGAAGAATGTGTATTTGCTGTTAATGACATAGTCCATGAATTTCAATTAAAGTTGTTCATTGGTGCTATTCAGTGTAATTGTATCCTTCCTGATCTTCTGACTGCTGGAACTCTTATGTTACTGATACGGGGGTGTTGATGGATCCAACTTTATGAGTTTTTATCTAAAATATCTTGCTACTCTTGTTATTTAATGCATATAGAAAGAATTGTATATTTTCTTGGAGATTTGACCCCTTTATCATTACATGATTCCTTCTTTATCTGAAATTTCCTTGCTTTGAAATAGGCTGTGTCCGACCTTAATATGCTCTGCCAGCTTTCTTTTGATTATTGTTGGCATGGTATATCTTTCTCCATCCTTCGATGTTTGTGTCTTTATATTTTCTTCTTTTTTAATATAGTGTCTTTCAGTGTTAAGGTTTGGACCATTGATGTTTAAGGTGGTTATTGATAATGTTGATTAATATCTTTAATTTTACTCTTTCTCTGTTGTCCTTGTTTCTATGTCTTTCACCATTTTTCTGCAGCCTTTGGCTTTAATTGAACATTTTATGTCTTCTTCCCATATCGATTATAGTTATTTGAGTTTGTTTTCTGGAGTTTACGTAATGTCACAGTATTCCTCACTTCTCCGTGTCCTTTGTAACATTGTCATTCGTTTATCCAAAAGTTATCACTGAATACAAAAGTGATACTTGTCAGATTTGTTGGTAAAAGAAAAGGTATTTTACCTACAGTAATTTTTCCTAATGCTTTACCTATTCTTATTTACCTCCTGATGAATTTTTTTTCAGGTTTCTTGCACAAGAGATGTACTCATGTCAAATGCCTCAATTTTTGTCTCAAAGTCTGTATTTCTCCCTCATTTTTAAAGAATAATTTTAAAACAGAATTGCAGGATGGTGGTTTTTTTACTTTCAGCACTTTCACTCGTTTCTTCTTGCTGAAATGGTTCCAGAAAGAAGTCCGTTTAATTCTTACTTTGTTTCCATGTAACTTAGGTTTGTTTTTCCCCTTTTGGCTTCTCTAGCTATATTCTCTTTGTCATTGATTTTTCTCCAGCTTGAATAGGATGTGCTTGAATATGCATTTTTGGTTTGGATTTTTTTTTTTCTTTTCTTTCATGTTTTGTGTTCTTTTAGCTTCCTGGATCTGCAGTTTGCTATTTTGAATGGTAGGAAGATGGAGTCATTATTGCTTCACTTACTTTTTCTGTTCTTTTCTGCCTTTCTTTTCCATCAGTTATTCCCATTGTCATTATCCCAAAGTTCTTGGATATTGTGTTTTTTTTCTGTTTGCTTAGCCCCAGTGAAACAGATTCTTCTGAAGACAGGCCTTGTTAAGAATAGAATATTCTGGGCATATTTCAGTTTAGCTTCTTTTCTGTCTCCAATTTGAAGACCATGGTTTGCCCTCTTTCCTCAGTTCTCTGATGGATCTAAGAAGAGTTGTTCATTTTAAGTTTTTTTTTTTTTTTTTTTTTTTGCTTTTTCCTTGCAAGGGAGTGACTGCTTCAAATGTTTAACTGCTCAATAGCTTTGAAGCTCGTCCCTCCTCCCTCCTTCTGTGGTCCAGTTCTATCCAAGGCAGTAAAAAAGCCTAGTGCTTACTACTTTGGCGGTGGCAAGAGATTCCATTCACACAAGCTCCTGTCCTTGTGTATGAACCTCTAGTCCATCCACAGCCTCAGTTAAAAAGTCCACGTGTTTTTCCCTGTTCTCTCAAGCCATTTCATGCCTGCTTGAGAGGCCTGGCTTCCTCCCTAGAGACCTCAATTATAAAATAAACTCTGTTATACCCTGTTGGCAGTATGTGGTGTCATCAACTTAGGGATTCCTATATTTGGGTGTAGCTGTTGTGCTTCTGTACACCACATCAGAGCTCATAAAGGAGAGAAAATGAGAGGGCTCCCTCTAGAGTGGCTGGTCAGGAAACTTCCTCCTGAAATTGGAGAATGAAGATTTTGTGTTCATTTGGAGGAAAGCACTGCTGCATCCTTTACAGATTTAATAATCACAAACAGATTCATCATCAGACCATTGTAGATACCAGTGAACTCCCTCACAACCTACGGTTCTTAATGTATTCATCAAGGTTAGAATGGCCAGGGTACGCTGTTAGAAGAGCTTTTTGATCAAACTCTAACACCTTTGCATCTCCGTGTGTGTGCTAAAAAGTGAGAAGCAACCCTGAGGCTCATCATGAGTATAGGGTTTTTGTGGAGATTTAAATTGTGCCTTTTAGCAGTATGTTCTATCATGCTAAATTGTCGGAGCCCTAGCATCTGAATAACTTCCTCGCTCCATGAAATGGGACAGAGAGAGAGAGAGAATGGAAAAACTGATAAATATCACACAAGTTAAAAGTACTACTTCTTCATGAGAATATTTTCCTTTATCTAGTTACATCAGGCTACCTCTAATGGCCTGGAGCACTTCAGGCTGGTATAGCAAGCTGATCCTTGTTACAAGTTGCATTTCCACAGGCCTCCTGGACTCTCATGTTTGGTGATGGGACTAGAAGAAAAAGCTTCCAGTTCTTCACTGTGTTTTATTCATTAAAACCTCATGCAGATTTGACCCCGTACATCATGGAGTGCTGAGTTAAATGGTAGGTAAGAAGGAAGGAGATGAGAGCATTTTTCTCAAAAGGAATTGGTGTGCTTAAAATAATACTTTTCATTTGTATAGCATTTCTCTCATTTTTCCAAGGTGCTCTAGGCCCTGTTATTAGAGAACAGTAACTTTTAAAGTGATCCCATAAAGATGAATAAATAATTTGCATGTGTTCATGATGCTGTTAAATTTATGAGGAAGTATGAACAGAGTTTCTCATGACCAAGACATAAAATAAATGTGTGGATACCACAGAATCATATATAACCTTCCTGTAAATTGAATATAGATCCCCAGTGCTGTCAGACTCATCATACATGCTACTATAAACATATTTGGGATGTTTTAGGACTCAGTAACCTTTGAGGATGTAGCTGTGAGCTTCACCCTGGAAGAGTGGGCTTTACTGGATTCTTCACAAAAGAAACTCTACAGAGATGTGATGCGGGAAACCTTCAGAAACCTTTCCTCAATAGGTAAAGATGATGACGTTCATTCTTAACTTTGGCAATTAGAGTACAAGTATTTCTTCCCATTGATCTTGTTCTGACCTGTGGAAAAAGAGTACATTAGTAAGCTAATCTCATCATAGACCTAAAATCTACTAATTTTTCTGTGATGTCTGATTACTTGGAATTATTTTTCTCTGTATTTTAGGGAAAAAATGGAAAGAGCATGACACTGAAGATAGGGACAATACCCAGGAGAGAAAACTAAGGTGAGTCACACAATAGATAGGATGCTCATGTCAGATACTGCTATATCATGGATTTTTAAAAACCAAATTATTCAAATTTATCCTTACATTTTTGTGGTCTTGAAAGTATTTACTAAATGTGACATAAGGTGGGAAGCCCAGGTGGCTCAGTGGTTTAGTGCTGCCTTCGGCCCAGGGCCTGATCCTGGAGACCTGGGATCAAGTCCCACGTCGGGCTCCTTGCATGGAGCCTGCTTCTCCCTCTGCCCATGTCTCTGCACGCCCCCATGAATAAATAAATAAAATCTCATGAATAAATAAATAAATAAATGTGACATGAGGTGTCCATTTTGGAAACAGCATAAAGAAACCTCATATATTAATCATCTCTGTTTACATAATAGCTGTGGTCAAGTCCACTTTCTGGAGTATATAGTATTTTAACTTTTCAAATGATTCAGAAAGGGTAGGAAACCTTCATTTTGCTAAAAATTATAAAAATATAATTCTAATATCCTAATATTACTAAGAAATAATTAATAAAATATTTGTTTTTTTTACAGAAGTCATGTGGTAGAAAAACCTTATGAAAGCAAAGAGGGTCATCAGAGTGGAGAAACCATCAGCCAGACTCCAGATCTTAATCTGAACAAGAAAAGTCCTGGAGTACAACCACCTGAAGGTCGCCAGTGTGGAGACACCATCACCCAAATTCCAGATCTTAATCTCAACAAGAAAAGTTCTTCTGGAGTAAAACCACCTGAAGGTCGTCAGTGTGGAGAAACCATCACCCAGATTCCAGGTATTAATCTGAACAAGAAAACACCTTCTGGACTAAAACCATGTGAATGTAGCGTGTGTGGAAAAGTCTTTGTGCGTCACTCATCCCTTAATAGGCACATCAGATCTCACACTGGACACAAGCCGTATGAGTATCACGAGTATGAAGAGAAGCCATATAAGTGCAAGGAATGTGGGAAAGCCTTCAGTTACCGCAAATCTGTTCACAGACACGAAAGGACTCACACTGGAGAAAAACCCTATGAATGTCAGGAATGTGGGAAAGCTTTCACGTGGCTCACAACTTTTCGAAGACACATGATAACTCACACAGGAGATGGACCTTATAAATGTAAGGAATGTGGGAAAGCTTTTAGTTGTTCAACTTCATTGCGAACACATGAAAGGACTCACACTGGAGAGAAACCCTATCAGTGTCAACAGTGTGGTAAATCCCTCAGATCCCCACTGGGTTTACGAATACATGAAAGAAATCACACTGGAGAGAAACCCTATGAATGTAAGCAGTGTGGGAAAGCCCTCAGTTGCCCCAGTTCCTTTCGAAGACATGAAAGGACTCACACTGCAGAGAAGCAGTATGAATGTAAACAATGTGAGAAAACGTTCAGTTCTCCTCTAGGTTTGCGAATACATGAAAGAATTCACACAGGAGAGAAACCTTACGAATGTAAAGAATGTGGGAAAGCCTTCATTTCTCTGTCAAGCATTCGGACACACATGATAACACACACTGGAGATGGACCTTATAAATGTAAGGAATGTGGGAAAGCCTTCATTTGTCCCAGTTCCTTTCGATCACATGAAAGGACGCACACCGGAGAGAAACCCTATGAATGTAAACAGTGTGGTAAAACCTTCAGTTGGCCCAGTTCCTTTCGAATACATGAAAGAACTCACACTGGAGAGAAACCTTATGAATGTAAGGAATGTGGCAAAACCTTCATTTATCGCACAACCTTTCAGGGACACATGAGAAAGCACACTGGAGAGAAGCCCTATAAATGTAAAGAATGTGGGAAAGCCTTTATTTCTCCATCAAGTGTTCGAACACACATGATCATGCACACTGGAGATGGGCCTTATAAGTGTAAGGAATGCGGGAAAGCCTTCAATTTTCCCAGTTCATTTCGAATACATGAGAGAACTCACACAGGAGAGAAGCCTTATGAATGTAAACAATGTGGTAGAGCCTTCAGTTGTTACACATCCTTTCGAACACATGAAAAAACTCACACTGGAGAAAAACCCTATGAATGTAAGGAATGTGGAAAAGCCTTCATTTATCGCACTACCTTTCGAGGACATGTGAGAATGCACACTGGAGAGAAACCATACAAATGTAAAGAATGTGGGAAAGCCTTCAGTCGCCCCAATTCATTTCGAAGGCATGAAAGATCTCATACTGAATAGAAACTTCTTGAATGTAAGCAGTGTGGGGAAACATCAATTGACCTTCATCCTTACATGTGAAAACCCCCATTGGAAAGAAATCTAATATAAGCAAGCCTGATACATGGATTCATGTATAATGCTCCAGAAAACTGTAAGATGAAAGAATCATTATAAAAGTTATAGATATATTGTCTTTATCAGTGCCTCATTCTTAAAGTGGATCTTTGGGCTGTGGATATTTTACTACTTATCTTTCAAAAATGAACATTGAGGTGAGATAATTCTGTAAGTACTCTATTACTGTTTAAAGGCTAATAGATGTTTGTTTTCTCCTTAAATCAGTTAATATTTTTCTTTTTCCATTTTGGAGTTTGACCATGGGTGAATTGAAGTGGTTTCTAAATGTGCAAGTAGGTTTAATTTTTATTTAATGTCTTATTTGAATTATCGATGAATGACACTTTAGTATTTGTTGGGATTTTCCTACTGGCCTTCTGTGTCAGCTACTGGATATCTTTTACCCATCATATATTCCATCTTTCTTAGGAGAAAATTCTTGTTTTGGCTTAAAAGAGCTTTATTCTGTTTTCCTTGCTAATAAAAAGATGGCATAAATCTGTAAATATGCAAAGTTTATTATGAAGTATAGTCTGATCAATTATTTCCATCTTTTGCCCTTTGCCATTCCTTCTGGCTAGGATTTGAATAATTAACTTTGCATTAAGACAGACCAATTATCGGATAATAAAATATAGAATTGGAGGTGGCTCTCCTAAATTGTGTTTCGTCACTTGGGTAATGTAATATATTCTAGAATCTGTTTCCTTTGTGATTCTATGTTAGTATTTACCTGAAGCCTCACTTGCATGAGATTTGGAAGGCAGCAGTACTGGAGGAATTAGGTTTCAGAGCCACCATACAGAGAGAGACAGCTGCGTAGGAGCTTTGAGGATACCTGCTTGCAGCTTATTTTCCTGATCCCTTGCCCTGCCAATTAAGAGCATCCTCAGAACAATTAACTGCTCATCTTCCATTTCTCAGAAGTGTAGGTTTCCACACATACCTTCACAAGTTTACATCAAAGATCCATGACAGTTTGTATTTTCCTGCAAGCCCTCATGTGTCTACCAGGCAACTAATTTGAACTTCATGGTTGTTCAGACTCCCCTCTCTTCTATACTGTATTCATATTTAAGGTCTAATTTGTGTAGTAAACACCTTGTTCTGGTAAGACTGTTAGTAACCATGTATTCCTGATTCCACTATGCTAGCTACAATGAATGATGCAGTCCACAAGAACCATATTGGACTTTGTTCCTCTGCTGGGCTATGCAGCCACTGTTCTGACCCTGTCTTTCCCTATGAGAACTGGTACCTTCCTCATATCAGGCAGATTATGAATGTTTCCCTTTGCTCACAGCTCTGCATAATTCCTCACTATGTTTTCAGGTATGTTTGATTGTATGTGATTAAAAGTAATGCATTTGTCAAAATCCTCTGTAATCATTTCTTAAAACATTTTATTAACTGTTTTAATACAATTTATATGCTAATATATACGGAGTTTCTCCTTTCCTAAGAGTATAAAATGCCATTGTAATTACGAATTTTCAGATCAGTTTTGTAATTTTGTCAAGTTAAGCATACATTGTCAATATTACCTTGCATATCCATGTTGAGGTACTTTTCATTCTTTTATATGTACAATCTCTGTCATGAAACTTCTCATTTGGTCAGTGTCATCTGGCTAGACAAAACCCACTAGGTTCATACCAGCAGTCAGCAGTGGTGTGATGAATTGTAATATGAACTGGCACCTGGGTGGTTCAGTTGGTTGAGTATCTTTCTCTCAATTTTGGCTCCAGGCCGTGAGTTTGAGCCCCATGTTGGGCTCCATGCTGGGCATGGAGCTTGCTTAAAAAAAAAAAAAACAAGAATGCAAACCCTGAATGATTGGATTTATCAGTAAGAGGGTATTTTTTTTAATAAATTTTTTTTTATTTATTTATGATAGTCACACACACACACAGAGAGAGAGAGAGGCAGAGACACAGGCAGAGGGAGAAGCAGGCTCCATGCACCGGGAGCCCGACGCGGGACTCGATCCCGGTCTCCATCCCGGGTCTCCAGGATCGCGCCCTGGGCCAAAGGCAGGCACCAAACCGCTGCACCACCCAGGGATCCCAGTAAGAGGGTATTTATTAAAAGGACTTACATAACTTGGGTTTTTGCTAGGTGATTTGATTGCTATTCAGTAAAAGCAAGAAATTTCTGGAGGTGTTGGATGCTTTGTGGAGGTGAGCTTTTTTTTTTTAATAATTTATTTTTTATTGGTGTTCAATTTGTCAACATACAGAATAACACCCAGTGCTCATCCTGTCAAGTGCCCATGTGGAGGTGAGCTTAATTCTACCATTGTTTTTACCTTCTAGAAAATGATTACCAGTGTAGTGGGGCTAAGCCTAATTCATAAGAAGCTCCAGTCAGTTATATTATTAAAAGAATTTTAGTAATTTTTGTGATTTGGAATGGACTCTTTTCCATTTTGAGAGATGTGGTTACAAAATACCCTTATTTTTGTCTTGATCCATCATGATCACCAAATTGCTTTATTTGATGATGGAAATGTTTGGTATTTTTCTCTCCAACACAAATGAGACTTCACAAGGACAGTGCCAGTCCCCTAAGAACAGCTGTTGCTCTTCCTACTCTTATCTAAACATCAGTATATTTCCTACAATAAGCTGATGGCCACTGTTTACCTCAGTATCTCAGTGAAAATGTGTAAATTTACTTCCTAGTAAACTATGTTTAGTACGTCCTTTTTGGTGTCATTGAGCCTGTAAGTTTAGGTAAATTGTGAGAACAAAACCTCACAAGGAGAAGGAGAAAGGAGAAAAGGAGAAAAACAGAATTACTATTCCAATCAAGCCTTTCTTGCTCAGAGACTACTCTTTTTTAAATTATTTTTTTATTTTTAAAAAGGATTACTTATTTGAGAGAGAAGAGAGAGCACGAGGGAGAGGGAGAAGTGGGGTTTGATCCCAGGACCCTGGGATCATGACATGAGCTGAAGGCAAACACCCATCTAACCGAGCTACCTAGGCATCCGTTTTGTTTTGTTCAATATTTTATTTGAGAGCAAGCAGGCACCAGCAGGAGAAGGGCAGAGGAAGAGGGAGAAGCAGACTTCTCTACTGAGCAGGAAGCCCACTTGGGGCTCAATCCCAGGACTCCCCAAGTTGAAGGCAGATGCTTAACTGTGCCACCTAAGTGCCCTTCAGGGACTATTCTTGATGCTAATTTTTGAACATCCCTTACTTGTCAGACACCATAATACTCAAAACATACCCAGTGTAGCAAAAATAAAGTCCGTATAGGATTTCAATTTAGGGGCATTAAACACACATGTTCTTGCACTCCTGGTGCTCATAGATTTGTGAGCAAGAGAGATGGTTAACAAATAGTAAAATGTTGGATGATAAGATGGAAGTAAGGGCTTTAAAGGAAAGTAGGCAATGACATGAAATAGGCTGGGATTGTGCATATCTATGAGGATAGGAGCCTCGGTGAGTGAGGATGTCCCTACTGACCACTTGAATTTCCACCATGCAATAGATCTTAAACACTTTCAGGAACAACTTGGGGTGTGAAACAGAGGACAGTAGAAATGAAGTCCTCCATTCCTGTGATTGAGTTTGGACCTAGATATCTGGGACTTGAGACTTGTCACTGATTTGGGTCACAGATATTTGTGGTATTTCTTCACGTTTAACATCATTTGAGAGCATTTCAATTTACCTGTATTTACAAGTTAAACTTTGCTTCTTTACTAACTGCATAATATAAACCCTCATTAAACCCTGGAGTCTCTCCCAGTTTGAAAAAAGATTATGATGATCTGCACTGTTCTAGCCTACCCAATGTTTATTCTGTGAAGAGAGTGGTATTACACAAGTCTATTGTGATTTCCCAGTGGAAACACCAAAAATAGCTATGACTGTTTAGAAGGCAGTTATCTAAGGAATAATTAAGGAAAGCTGCAGGCACAAAGTATCATTTTGAGTAATATTCTAATTTTATGTAAAAATGTGGGAAATAATGTCTTTCTGTAAGGAGTAATTGGAAGCTTTTTGTTTCATTGATCCACCATAGCTCCATAATCCACCTTACTGTCCATAGGTGTCATTTCTATATGCTTACACTTTCAGCACTTTACGAACTAGAAGAATATAAAAGTAACCACTTGGCATTTTATTAAAGAGCCAAGGAAAGATAATCCTGTTCATTTTTTAGTACTTAATTACATTTCTCAGCACCTTGGCAGTAATTTCATGCTTATTCTTTCATTAGATGCTTCACCAGGCATTCCTTCCATCTTACAAAAGAGAAACTTGAGCACAAAAAGAGTCCAAACTCACAGAGCTCTTAGGTATGGAGGCCTAATGTGTGCCACCTATTTATTTATCTTTTTCAAAGATTTTTATTTATTTATTCATGAGAGACAGAGAGAGAAAGAGAGAAGCAGAGACACAGGCAGAGAGAGAAGCAGGCTCCATGCAGGGAGCCTGACATAATGGGACTCGATCCTGGAACTCCAGGGTCACGCCCTGGGCCAAAGGCAGGCACTAAACTGCTGAGCCACCCAGGGATCCCCCTGTGCCACCTATTTAACTGAGCATTGTCAAAATTTTAAACTCAGAAGATCACTGCAAAAAAATTTCACTTTTATAAATTTTTTGAAAATTCACAACTATGCTTTATATAGTATGTGTGTACATACTCTAATAGAAAGCAATAAATATGCTTTATGCTGGGAGAGTATTAAATTTTGCTGAACCCTGTCATGTGTGCAACTCTTCTTTCCACCACACTGGGATACTACTTAGGAAGAACTAAAGGACAGATGAAGGAGGATTCAGGCCTTTTCTTACAATCCCATCTGCACCTAGAGAAAATTGAGTGGGAGGGCTCTCAGGATCTAAGACTCTTCAGTCAGGTCTTTGGAAATAATGTGGTTCTGAAACGTAAGGGTATACCCTGCAGTTATCTCCAAGTGCCATCTGTCTGAGGACATCCTAACTCATAAGCCTCAGTATCCTATCCTTCCATTGCCATCTTGAGGCCATTTATAGCTCACAGACTGACTTTGCCTGCTGCTTACTGGAAAGCATCTTTAGAAATTCATACCATAGAGGCCTCCTCATGAAAAGATATTGGTACCTACAGGACAGAGCAAAAAAAAAGTGGGTATTCTGGCCTATCCCACCTACAAGTCAAAGTGTGTTACCCTGTCCTCCGAATGATATTCTGGAGGAGGTCACCCCTTTTCAAGACTCGGCCATTTGGGGAGTCCCTAGGGAATGAATGACTAGGAGAGTTCATATACTTTATGGACCCTATGCCACCACCCTACCTGATGAAGTCAAATGCAGAAATACTGTTTCCAGATCAAATAGGCCCTCCCTGATCAAAGACTGTACCAAGCTCAGCTCAGTTACTCAAATCCCAGGCAATGGGATAAAGAACTCTAGGAATATTTTGAATCACAAGTATATGTACATACAAATCAAGGTCCCTCCTAACTCTGTACATATTAAACTTCAAACACCAGAGGCTTATTTCAATACTCAGGGCGGTAAGTTAACTCAAATTTCTGAGACTCCTACATCTCAGACATACTATTAACCTTGGCCCTGTGTGCCCATGAAATAAAAAACCATGGAGGGACCTCTACTCTAAAGCTCTAGCCAGAATGGAAAGGACTTCCTCCGACATGGCAAACGTAGATGACTGACCAATGCACCTGTTGTGAAAAATCACAGACAGCACTGGGAATATAAACAATGGACAGAATTCCCAGGCCAAGAAGGGGGTTTTAGCTGATGGAAAATAGACTTTATAGAGCCCCTTATCCCCTATGCTGGGCTACTTGATATGATCAGACCGTGTCATATTAGTAGAGACATGACTCACCCTATCAAACATGCCACTGAAGAAACCAAAATGCAAGGACTAAGACATTCTAGACATTGATGTGATCATTTCATTTCTCAAAAAAATATAAATGCACACTGGGTTCCTGAAAAAGGCATTCATTGGAGCTTGCTTCATAAGCCAAGCCTTCATAGAAGCATAGAAGCCAGAATGGCTTACTTAGACAAACCTTGCTATCTTCCAAATGGGTCTTCCTGTTGTTCGAGGCATTAGACTCAACCCTCAGACCCATTACTTTGTTCTTATCATGTTTGCAGGCATGTTTTGAGAAGATGCCTTTCTATACCTGATATTTCAAAATGGTCATTTTCACAGACCTTTTTTATTGTAATAGTGCCCAACAGCCAATGCTCCCACCTCTGGACCTTCCTCTTAACATCACTTGTACTCTGTACCCTGTGTTGTCAAATTTCTTTCTTCCTTCCTTTCCTTCATTAGATACCCTCTTACACTGTTGGGAATGCAAGCTGGTGTAGCTACTCTAGAAAACAATGTG